AAAGGACAAGAAGATACATATTTCCATATTTCATTCTTCATACCAGGCCAAACAAAGCATTGCTTCATTTTATAATATGTCCTCCAAAACCCCGAATGTCCTCCTGATAAGGTATCATTATGGTACATTGATAAAATCGAAGTTCGATGTTCTTGAGGGACAAAATATTCCCCGTGATCTTCTAATTTTAAAGGAATACTCTGATGTTTAACAAATAGTATGGTTTGATCGCTGGAATTAAGTGTTTCTACAGCCAATCTAAACAGCGTATTTGCATCGCTGAGCTCCCTGCCAGAACGGTGGTTCACTCTCATTTCGAATGAGCTCAGAAACAGCTGCCACCTCGCAAGTCGATCTCGGAGATGGCCACAGGAAAGTAGCTGAGTTAATGCTTGATGGTCCGTGTGGACAACAAAAGACTTGCCTTCCAAATACCATCTGAAGTGTTTGAAAGCCTTCAACACACAAGGCATTCCTTCTCAGTGATAGAATAATTTTGTTCAGCCTTGGAAAATGTATAAGAATAATAACTAATCACTCTGAGTTGAAGTGACCTCCTTTTATTAATGTCTCTCTGGTATAGAATAGCCCCTGTTCCATGATATGAAGCATCTGTTGACATTTCATAAGGCAATGACTCTTCCGGGATTGCCAATATTGGTTTTGATGTGATGATATCAATGAGTTTTAAATAGGCCTCTTCACATTCATCAGACCACATAAATATAGAACATTTTTTCTTCAGGTTGTCCAACGGTCGAACTATCTTGGCATAGTTTGGTATATAGCCCGAAAATGAGCTGTAAATCCAGTAAAACATTGTAGTGACTTAAGGTTATATGGGCGTTTCATGAGTTTAGCCTTTTCAATTACTTCCTCCTTCATTTGCTTCGAGTTACCGTTGATAATTCTACCTAAAAGTTCCACCTCAGATACACAAATTTGGCACTTGCCCAAGTTCACTGTCATATTATACTGATTCAGTCTATTGAAAACTTTGTAAGTGAAGGAAGCACATTCTTCAAGGGTTGGGGCACCACAACAAATGTCATCAATGTAAACAACCACTGAGTTCCAATAAATCAGCCAACATTTTGCTCATAACCCTTTGAAATCTAGGAGGTGAATTTTTCTACCCGAAAGGTAGTCTCTTAAACACATTAAGTCCATCAGGTGTTACAAAAGCAGAAAATTTTCTCGTGGCTTTAGTTAGACCGACTTGACAAAACCCATCCTTTAAATCAATTTTTGTAAAGTATCAACAACCCCCAAATTTATTAATGATTGAGTCAATTCTAGGAAAAGGCAAAGGGTCCAAAAGGGTCTCTTTATTCAACTGTTGATAGTCAATACAGAGTCAGTAGGATGAGTCCTTTTTAGAAACTAGAATACAAGGTGATGCGCACTCAGAAGTAGAAGGAGTAATAATACCCCCATCTAGCATCTCCTTCTTCTTCTTTCTTATCTCCACTCAATCACATTAGGGTATCAAGTTGTGACCCTTGATGGTGTCTGTTTGATAACCACCATGACTGGGTGAAGTAGAATATGTCTGCCTTTGTCATCAAGACTGGGAGCACTACTCAGTGGCAGGCCGACTTAGCTCCAAAAAAATGGCCGCCTCTGACATGAGGAACAGACGCCATGTGCAGCCGCTCCTAACATGGAGTACAAACGCTGCTCATCCTGTATCCCTGGATTAGGAGCCCTTACAGGGTACTATCAGCCGGGCCAGCTGAACCCAGGTTTTTTTAGCGAGCTTGTTACTGCTCCCCCTCCTCCTTTTCCATCCGGGCTTGGGACCGGCATGATTTTTCCAGCAGTCCATGCTCCCTTGTGATCCGACATGCGGTAAGGTTTGCACGCCACAATGTTATTATTGGGCTTCAATAGAAAGTCGATCTCGTGCAATGGTAATTCCTCTTTGGAGACATTGCAAAGCTTGGGGAATATAGTGATCAGCTCATCAATGGTAAAAATAACTTCCTTTGACCTCAAAGACATGCACTTAATCTCATCAGTCCCAAAGTTCCATTGAATTCGGAGATCCCTCATGGTGGGCTTTCCTATTAACAGTTCGAATCGCATCTCCCTCAATATTGTGGCCGTCATTATTATCTGTTGATCGTTAACCTGAAGTTGAACCTCAATATTCTCAGACGCTCGGACATGACTTTCGTCAATCGTTGTTATTGTGGTCTCTGATGGATAACTTTTCCATTTATATTTGGCCAAAAGGTCTCTTCTCATTAGATTGATAGAAGAACCTGGATCCATGAAAGCAACAAGTTTTACACCATTTATAATAACGGGCAACATAGAATCTGGACTTTTGCAAGACAAAAATAGGATCGATTTTGTCATCGGGATCGAACAACCCTCTAAATTTAGTTTTTTCTAAGGAAGTGTTGAATTAAGGTGAGATGATTAGGTAATCATCTAACTCGCTAAAATAATATTTTTTTAAAATAGCCTTGTAATATAAATTAATGATATTAATTGAAACCATTGTGTGTTTTTATTTTATTTTCATGATTAACTTTTAGTATCAGGGACAAAATGGCATTAATACATATTTTAGAAACAAAAATAATTGTAACAAATAAATTTACTGGCAATGTGTTTCTTTTCAGTAATATAATCAATTATTAACTCTACAGACATTAAAATATTAAATATAATATATTAAATAATATTTTATTCTAATTGAAAAATATAGCAGTTGAAAGGAAATAAATATGGTAAATAAAAAGAAAATTTTTAAATATTATTAAAAAATAATCATGAAGATCTTTTAAAAAATTCCTTTATAGATGTCTGTTTTTGCACTGAAATCCTATTCAGGATGTATTCCAGACGGTCATTTTGAAAAAACATGCATGTCTTTCTTCTTCTAAAATGTTTTTTTAATAAATAAATTTTAATGTATTAAAGTCATCCACTGCTGCTGCAGGTATTATTGATTTTGTGTTTAAATCTTTTATAATAACACAGAAATGGAATATTGAAATAAAATGTTATCATAATCATTGTGGCTACATTTTATAAAGATTTATTTATTTAAAAAGAAATTATTTATAAATTTTAAAATAGCTAAAATATTTCAATGTTAAAAATAAAAAAAATAAAAAGTATTATTAGTTAGCGCAGATGCCGAAATTCCCGCGTAAAAAAACAACAATAACATCCGCAAAATTGCGCAATGGCACTGCAAAGTGAAACTTAAACTAACCAGAAACCAAAAGTGCGCAGGCGCGATCCGATCGGCGCCCGCCGTAATACCGTTTAGCGGTAAAGTTGCATGTAAAATAACATTCAACTGTCAAAATTCAAATTTTAAAATGGTCGAACTATCGGAACTGTCGTATTATCGATACTGTCAAAATACGGTTTGTTATTTGATAGGCCAGAGGTCGGGACATCGGAACATCCGAAGGAGAATAATGCTTTTGGCAATTTTTTACAAAGGTATCAAGAATCAATCTCACAGCTGCTAATTTATCTTGACGAAGTCTTTCATTTCTTGTAGCTTTGTCATCAAAACGAATTACTCTGAGAAGAAATCGGAATTTGTTTTCAGACATAGCTATTCTACACAATTCAAATCCAGTATTATCTCTTGCCCATGCATCATCTGTATTCAATTTATTTGTTTTCATGACCCTAAGAAAGTAAATAATTCCCAATAAAGCTTTAATTTCATTTAGGTTTGTCAAATTACATCTCTTTCTCTGCTATAGTTCTTCTGAATATTTCTAATGTAAATGTTAGTATTTGTAACTATGCATTCAAGTGTATTGTCATCTATAAAGAGATTCCAACAATCTAATATTGATTTAGCATTTTTTGCTTCACCCTTTACCCCTGGTAGATGTGTGATAATATTTTCACTGCGAGTTCGATTATTTTTTTGGGGGAAGAGCTTTCTTCCATTTAGTCTTTTGGTCCTTTCCTATATAGTAATTGAAGCTTGGATCCTCATTGTTTTCTTCTTCTGATAATGTTCAGATTCTGCACTCCAATTCCTCTCTTCTATATTATCATGTTTCTGATTCCTCATCATCGGGCTTTGGAATATTATTATCATCACGAAAAAAATCAGCATTTGAAAGCATTTTATGTAAAATAATGTAAAAAAAGTAAATAAAATATAAGCCCTACCTTATTGTTGGAAGAATAAATTGTATTATTGCACTCGGGGCAGCAAAACCAAACAACAAGAAGCCAGAAAAAACCCGAAACTTAATTACACAAACCAAAAGCGATAAAAGGTCACGCTGGGTAAAAATTACACAATGACGAGAACTCAAAAGGTCGCACTGGGTAAAATTGACCCAAACAGGCTAATAAAATGAATATATGTCATAAAATTTAAATTATAGGTTCATTATAATAATCTTTAAATAGATTTAGAAAGGTACTGAGAATATATTTCAAATATATATATTTTTCAATATAGAAATATTTTCTAAAAGTTCCTTCTGGGTAATTTTTACCCATTGCGACCGCATATGGGTTAAAGGTTGTCAGAAATAGTTAATTTGTGTGTCGGTGGAAGGCTGGTTAAACCGTTTGGTTTTCGACCACTATGACCCGGGTTCGATTCCCGCATTGGACACTTTTTCTGTTAAAAAAAATGCTCCAATGGCCCCCGATTTTTGCAAAAGTCCAACCCCACCATCGAGTGCAAGAAACCAAACGGGGCTCTGGCACATTTGTAAGTGCAAAGTCGAACTGCTTTCAACATGTGTAGACATGTGGTGATCTTAGCGTAAAAGCAGTCACTAACTACCCTCCATGATTATTATAGCCTGTACAACGTGTACTAGGGATAAGAAAAAAAAAAGTTGACGAATCAGATTTTTTGGCTGCCTTGATATAATTGATATAAAGCGATAGAAAAGTGAAAAAAGAAAGGCGAACAAAGAAAAATGAACATACGGGGATGAAAGATAGGCAGGCAATAGGAGCTGCTGGAATGGCTTGTCTCAGGTGAGGTTTTACAGGTACATTGGGTCAGCTGACATCCCCCCAACCCCCACTGATAGATAAGAAGTTATGGGACAAGAACGCAGTGGATGCGAATTCGTGTCCACCGTCGGCAATTTTATATTTAATTTTGAAAACTTTTTAAAATTTATACCCCTCCCCTTGAGGGAATCAAATTTCCCAATGAAATGAAGTAAGTGTGTTAAATTGTATTCAGTTAAAGAGGTTACACTATGGTTGCTTAGTGTATTCAAAGATTGAATATTTTCTCAATGATGTTATCAAGGAGATTGTGATCAAGTTCTCTTATTGTCATAACCTGATGATAAGTGTTATTTTTGATATCATTTAGTGTTTGCCTTGTAAATTATTAATACTAGTTTTTTATTTAAATGGCTATATGTGTGTGTTTGTTTGTCTTTAATAATGATGCTTACCTATATTTTTTATTTTGCAGGATGAAAAGCGACTCCCTTTTCCTTCCTGAATATTATCCCAGTAACAATGGAAATTGTCACCTAAATTAACTATGAAGAAAGCATTTTCATTTAAGGAAACAAAAACATTCAAAGCTTGATCCATATTCTACGTTAAAAAATAATTAACTCCATTTTAGCAATTTGTTTTTGTAGATTTGTGAGAAATACAAACCTTTTCTAATAAGAAAATATATATATTAAATATATATGACTTTTATCTAATGGCATGTTAACATAAAGAATTGTTGCTCCATATGTCAATAAGTAACATTTTTGAAAATCTCTTTGGTGCAAATATTATAAATATAAAATATCAAGTGCATCTTAATTAAAAAATTCCATTATTTTCCTCTCGGGGATATTTAGAGTGTAACCAACCTAATCAAAACCTAAAGAGTGATAGCCAAGTTGAAAAGCATTCATTTGTAGCAAAAGAAAAAATAAATGTTCTACAAGTGTGACGTTTGTAATTACCAAACTAAAAGGAAATTCAATATTCATTCCCATTTGGTCAATCATACATGTAAAATGACCTTTAAATTGTGAGTTTTGTGACTACAAAGCAAGAATCGAATTTACATAACTCAACAATTGATACTCATACTGGTGAAAAACCCCAAAAATTGAATTTTATGTTTATAGAGCAAGAGATATAAGTACCCTTAATCAACATTTTACGATGCAAACTGATAAAAATCCTTTTAAATGTGAATATTGTGAATACAGAACATTTCACAAGGGTAATCTCAAAACTCATCTCTTTATACATACTGGTGAAAAGCCTTTTAAATGTCAATATTGTAAATATAAAACAATTCATAGTAGTAGACTTAAAAGACATATATTAATACACAAAGGTGAAAAGCCCTTTAAATGTGAATATTGTGAATTCGAGACATTTGAAAATCTTCTTTTTCAAAAGCATTTTCTTGTGCACACAGGTGAAAAGCCATTTAAATGCGAGTTTTGTGAATATAGAACAATATATAAACATACACTTACTCAACATTTGATAACTCATACAAGTGAAAAGCCCCATAAATGTGATTTTTGTGATTATAGAGCAATAGATATAAGTACCCTTAATCAACATTTGATGATGCACACTGGTGAAAATCTCTTAGAATGCGAGTTTTGTGAGTATAAAGCAAATAATAAAAGAACCTTTAATAAGCATTTGGTGACACACAATGAAAAGACTTTAAAATGTGAATATTGTCAATACAGAACATTTCATAAGGATTATCTTAAAAGTCATCTCCTTACACATACTGGTGAAATGCCTTTAAAATGTGAATATTGTGAATATAGAACAAATTATAGTAGTAGTCTTAAAACTCACATAATAAAACACACAGGTGAAAAGCCTTTTAAATGTGAATATTGTGAATATAGAACAATTCATAGTAATAGTCTTAAAGCACATATATCAAAACACACTGATGAAAAGCCCTTTAAATGTGAATATTGTGAATATAGAACAATTTATAGTAGTGGTCTTAAAAGGCATATATTAAAACACACTGGTGAAAAGCCTTTTAAATGTGAATATTGTGAATACAGAGCAAATCACAAGGATAATCTTAAAATTCATCTCCTTACACATACTGGTGAAAAGCCTTTAAAATGTGAATATTGTGAATATAGGACAATTCATAGTAGTATGCTTAAAAGACATTTTTTAAAACACACAGGTGAAAAGCCTTTTAAATGTGAATATTGTGAATATAGAACAATTAATAATTATAATCTTAAAAGACATATATTAAAACACACTGGTGAAAAGCCCTTTAAATGTGAATATTGTGAATATACAACAGTTTATAGTGATTGTCTTAAAAAGCATATATTAATGCACACAGGTGAAAAGCCATTTAAATGAGTTTTGCGACTATAGATCAAAATATAAACACAGCCTTAATCAACATTTGCTCAATCACACACACACCGGGAAAAGTCATTTAAATGCGCATTTTATAAATATAAAGTAACTAGCGGACGTACCTGGCTTCACCCGGGTTTTACCCGAGAAAAGGTTTGTCTAACGAATCTCTCGATAAAGTGAACATTTTTTCCCGGTCCCTTGAAAAATACTCGATAAGTTGAATAAAATCAATATTAATTGGTTCCCTCGGTAATTGGAAGTTAACGGAATAGTATCTTGCCTTGGAATTGTATCATTATTCTTGTCTCAAATAAATTGTTGTGTCATCCTGAATTTTGTCTTTCCTAATTTTCTACATTACAAAATCATCGTATCATCATGATAATATTTAGAGCAGATTGTTGAATTATAACAGATAAATTAGAATATTTATCTTGATTATTTTTAGGCGAAAAGTTATTTAAAAAATTTTATTTGCTAGAAACCTTCCCAGTACTATACTAAATAACTTCCCAAAGTTTCATGGCGTTCCAATGAGTGGTTTGGTCAGGCATAAAGGACAGACAGACACACATACATTCATTTACAGTATAACCTCGTTAATTCGACACACCCTAATTCGACACTCGGCGATAATTCGACCATGTTCTGATGTCCCGACCTCCGGCCTATCAAATAACAAACCGTAATTCGACATATCGATAATACGACACTTCCGATATTTCGACTATTTTAAAATTTGAATTTCGACAGTTGAATGTTTTTTACTTACAACTTTCTGCTAAAATGGTATTAAGGCGGCGATCAGCGGGCGCCGATAGGATCGCGCGCGTGCACTTTTGGTTCCTGGTTAGTTTAAGTTTCATAATTGCGCAATGTCACGAGTGTTATTGTTTTTTTTGTTGTTGTTTTTTTACGCTGGGATTTAGGCTTCATGCACTAATTAACAATATTTTATTTTTAAATTTCAGTATTAAAATATTTTAGTTATTTTGATATTTGCAAATAATTTCCTTTTAAATATATAAATCTTTATACAATGTAGCCACAATGATTATGATAACATTTTATTTCAATATTCCATTTCTGTGTTATTATAAAAGATTTAAACACAAAATCAATAACACCTGCAGCAGCAGCAGTGGATGCCTTTAATACATTAAAATTTATTTATTAACACTTTGAAGACCAACCCCGTTTTTATACGTCATAAGCTATTAAGCCTAGCGGACCAACCCCGTTTTTATACATCGCGGCACTTTAAAACTCAATAGAAAATCATAGAACGAAGTACGTCAAGAAATCTCTTCGGCAAATCATCGGCCTATCATGAATAGTTACAAAAATGATCACTAGATGTCAGGACGATACTGTTGGCAGGCAAAAAGATTAGTCATCTGTTGCTCAATCTCATTGGCTAGCTTGCTGACAAACTGATAACAGGCAAGTTTGTTTTTGTTATCTCTAATCTCTTTTCGCTCGTTTTTTTCTAAGTTATTTTGCCTCTAATTTCATAACGTTATTGAAATGAATCCTTTGGATCAACCTAGCACTTCAAAAGGTTTGGGATCAGAAGTTCATTTAGATGAAGACATTCAAGATATTCTTGAATATCTTTACGATTCTGGCTCAGAAATTAATGATGAAGTGAAGGATCCTGATTACGAAAATTCAGCCTCCGATGAATTAGAATTTGAGGAGGAAGAAAGGGAAGTAATTCCTGCTAAACGGCCGCAATTAGAAGTAGCTCCAGTTCGCATGCTGACGACATGTCGGGACACGTCCACTGCCGCCGCTGGCTCCAATGTTGCCGCCGGCACCTGGAGGAAAGATGATCCCTCGCCCCCAACTCCTCCCCCTTTCACCGCCCGCCCTGGACTAAATTTAGTGGGGGATGTTTCCTCACCATTTGATGCGTTCAGTCTCTTCTTTACAGAGAATATTTTCAAAAGCATCAAAGAGGAAACAAACCGATATGCCAGGAGTATTATTGATCGGGAGTCCAAGAAGGGTCCTCTCAAGCCTCATGGCATGCTGGCTAAGTGGAAGGATATGTCAGTGGCACAGATAAAGCTCTTTTTCTGTGTCATCATACACATGTCTTTGGTGAAGAAGCCTGGGATGAAAGACTACTGGTCTACTCACGGATTCCTGAAGAATGCCTTTTGCCAGTCCATAAATATGCCAAGGACACTATTTATGAGAATTTTGTCAATGCTACATTTGAATGACAATTCAAAATACATTGAATATGGAAAACCAGGGCATGACAGACTCTTCAAAATAAGACCAGTTTTGGAATCCCTCATATATTCTTTTGGGAATGCCTACACTCTTCAGCAAAATCTCAATATTGATGAGGCGATGTGTCCATTCAGAGGACGTGTGGGTTTTCGAGTGTATATAAAAGGAAAACCTCATAAATATGGCATCAAGATATTCCAGATTTGTGAAGCTGTATCTGGATTTTCTTACAATCTTGATATCTACACTGGCAAGGATCCTGAGCAGCCAGAGCACAACTCCATTCCGAACCTCGTGGACAGGCTGGCAAAGAGGTTTTATGGACAAGGCTATCATATCTATTTTGATAGGTGGTTTTCCTCTCCTGAGTTATTTGATAAACTTTGGGAAAAAAAGACCCTAGCTGTTGGCACAGTTATGCCTTCCAGGAAAACGATGCCAAAAAACAAATTTTCCCAAAAACTAAAGAGAGGAGAGATTATAAAGATGAGAAGAAAGCATCTTTTAGCCATCAAATGGAAAGATGTTAGAGATGTTTTCATGCTCTCCACTGTCCATGAAGGTAAAATGATGCCAGTCAAGCCCAAAACCCCAACCAGAGAAGAGTTGTTCAAGCCTGATGCTGTCATCGATTACAACAAGGGGAAGGTAGGAGTGGACCGGAGCGATCAGATGATGGCATATTATTCTTTTAGCAGGAAAACATTGAAATGGTGGAAAAAAATATTCTTCCATCTTTTTTCACTTTGTTTTGTAAATGGCAACATCATTTACAATAAAGCAAATCCTGATAAAAAAATAAGTCTGAAGGACTTCTATCTGGCTGTCGGTGGGGAGTTGCTCAATCAGGCAAGCATTGAACACTCTGAAAAAGAAACAACTTCGAAAACTGATGTTGCCAGGCTACTTGGGAAGCACTACTGCTATAAAATAGCCCCAGAAAGTGGAAAAGCAGTGCAAAGAAGGTGCAAAGTTTGTGCAGATAGTGCAAAGCACAAGACTGGGAAGGCAGCCCGGAAGGACACCAGATTTGAGTGCAAACAATGCAAGATTCCACTTTGCGTTGGAGAGTGCTTCGAAAAGTACCATACAGAAACGAAGTACTGGGAATAACAAGTATATAAATGTAAAAATTTTAATAATTTCCTCTGATTATTTTTTTTTTACGAACAGTGGCGTTTTTTTTTGGCAGTTTGCATTTTTTTAGTTCTTTTTTTATTTTGAAAAAGTGCCAATAAACATATATTTTTTATTGCATTTTTGTGTTTTATAGACATATTTTGATACAAGCATCAAATTTCACTGTTCAAGGTAATATATTTTTATAAAAATGATTTTTTTTAAAAATCAAGTTTTACCCTGGTTCACGGGGCTATTTGGGTTGTGAAACCAATGTTCCTCAAAGTGTTAAAAGACATTTCAGAGGAAGAAACTTTTAGTATCAGGGACAAAATGGCAATAATACATATTTTTGAAACATAAATAATTAAAAATAAAATTTATTCTAATTGAAGAGTATAGCAGTTGAAAGGAAATAAATATGGAAAATAAAAAGAAAATTTTAAAATTATACACCTATCCCCTGATTTACACGGTAGATACGTTCCTGAGAAAAACGTGTAAATCGGGGGATAGGTGTACACAGAAATAAAAATAAAATGCATTGACAGGTTAAAATATGTAGTCAGCACATAAGCTCGGGATTCCTCGTGAGATGTGTACACAGCGCATGTGTTCTATCACAGTAGCATTTAGTATAGTGCGATAAAAAAAAAACTTATTTGGAAAACCGTGTAAATCGGGGGATAGGTGTATTTAAAAAAATCATGAATATCTTTTTAAAAATTCCTTTATAGATGTCTGCTTTTTCACTGAAATCCTATTCAAAATGTATTCCAGATGGTCTATTTAAAAAAAAAAAACAATGCATGTCTTTCTTCCTCTGGAATGTGTTTTAAATAACAAAGAGCTTTTATTGTATTGAAGGCATCTCCACTGCTGCTGCGGGTGTTATTGATTTTGTGTTTAAATCTTTTATAATAACATGGAAATGGAATATTGAAATAAAATGTTTTCATAATAATTGTGGCTACATTTTATGAAGATTTATTTATTTAAAAATAAATTATTTGTAAATTTTAAAATAACTAAAATATTTCAATACTGAAAATTTTAAAGAAAATAATATTATCAATTAGAGCACGAAGCCTAAATTCCCATTTGAAAAAACTAACAAAACAATAACACTCGCGACATTGCGCATCGGCACTGCAAAGTGAAACTTAAACTAACAGAAACCAAAAGTGCGCAGACGCGATCCTATCGGCGCCGCCGTAATACCATTTAGTGGTAAAGTTGTATGTAAAAAAACATTCAACTGTCGAAATTAGAATTTTTAAATGGTCGAACTATCGGAACTGTCGAATTACGGTTTGTTATTGATAGGCCGGAGGTCGGGACATCAGAATATGGTCGAATTAAGGTAGAGTGTCGAATTTGCGTGTGTCGAATTAACGAGGTTATACTGTATATAGATTAAGAAATGTATGCTTAAAAGACATTTGAAAGAACACTGACGAAATTCCTTTTAAGTGTGAACATTGTGAATTTGAGTTGACATATTTCTTTGTCCATTTAAAAATGTACTTTTGTCTCTTTGTATCTATATTAATAAAATGCAAATTTCATAAGTGTTGTTCGCTAAAAACTTTCGTTACAATGCATCAATTTCGACCAAATTTTCAACATTTATGTAAAACGAGATGGAGCAGGTTTTGCTTAACATCAAAATATTTTTCCTAACATTAACATGCGTAACTTCGGTGTTATCGATTAAATACAAAAAAAAATCAACAGAGTTAATTTTATTTATATATAAATACAAAAAAAAATTAAACAGAGTTAATTTTTTTACATACTAGCTAATAATCTCAATCTAAAAAAATATTCAAAACAAACAATTTTAAGATAACACCATATGTAAAACAGTCGGCCAAGAAAACATATTATATAAATATATAATGTAACGAATATTATTATCATAATATTCTGTGTGTTCAGCAATATTATTATCAATAATTTTCGTTAGGCAAACTTTCACTTGGATAAAACCCGGGCGAAGCCGGGTACACATCCGCTAGTATCTGAATAAAAAGATTATTATTATAAATGTCCAGTATGTGCTTATTTTTACATACTCCACCAAAAAATATGTGATTACTTCAATTATACAGTTGTAAATATAGAACATGAGTTGAAATGTTATATACCTCTATTAATAGAAATTTCTTTTGTTGTCATATTGTAAAACTCATTTGGCATTTTTCAAACTGAATACCTCTATCAAACAAGCTGAAATAGAGATACACTTAAATTATAAGAACTGACAAAAAAACTATATATTTTTACCATTATTTTCTTTTTAAACAAATATAATTAAAATTATTTCTACAGCCCTTATCCTGTGATTATTAAAAATTGAAAGAGGGAAGTATGGCTTATCAGTGGTGAAACCTCCCAGTGGGTTTGCCCTTTTATTCTCCAGACCTCATCAATATTGTATTAGACTGAGTTCTTCTAAACCCTCCACTTGCTATTGAATACAGTAAAATGGTGTTTTGAACAAACTATGGACATATGTCTAGGACTGTAGAAATGTATATCTAATTTAAAATATATTTGACAAAAAATCTTTTTTTTTTTGCCCATCCTTAGTTTACAGGGTACAGGCCATGATAATCAATAGTAGGCGACTGCTTTTACCATAAGTGCACCACGTGTCCACACATGTGAAAAGCAGAAAAATTATTTTTATTCATTTTAGGATAAGGGCTCTAGATATAATATTAATTATATTTTAAAAGAAAAATAGCATTTAAAAATAGTTTCATAATTTTCATCATGATAAGGCACAATTTGTATTATATATTATAAACACAAGGTAATAAGACCAAATCCAAATATATAAATGGTGTGACGTTTCGGTAACAATGCTGTTACCAAAATGTCACAGACTATTTGAATTTGGTCTTATTACCTTGTGTGTGTTTAGAATTTTCTCATCAATAAATAGCAATACTATTTCCCTTAGTGTTCCCAAAGTGAAAATTATTGGGTCTTGGGATATAATTTTTGATGCACTTAAACCTGTTAATTTAAAGACTTCAAGGGAAGCTTCCTGCTGAATTCAAGAGTTGAATTATACTGGTAAAATAATAATTGTTTGTTGTTGGCAAAGATACAGCTATTCCAGGGATTTTAAGGTGTGCAGATTCCAAATCTGCCAACCTTTTCTTAGAGCCAACCTTCTGCCAACCTTATTTTAGAGGTGCATTGTTACCAGCTCATATTTTGAAGACATTTTATGGTAATGTTTCTAATCCAGTGGTACAGAGTCTAGCTCTACCTAAAATTCAGCCAATGGTGTAAAGAAAAAGACATGTACCAGCTATGTCAGGCCAATTTTTAATAAAGGAAGCAAAATGTGAAAATTATTATTTTTTTATTTAATAATTTTTAATCCAAAACGATTGAGATATATATTTTTTTCTGTGATTTTCTAATAAAAGTTACATATGTGTCTAGTACACAATGCAAGATTCCAGAAAACCCATTTCAAGCTTCATAAAAAAGGCTTACAATGCTTACTTTGAAGTTAAATAGGAGACCAAGATAAAACGTTTAGGCCAAATATGTTTAATTAGGTACAATTTGGATTTTAATTCATAAACACAAGGTAATAAGACCAAATACAAATAAATTAATAAAGTGACGTTTTGGTAACAGCATTGTTATCATCTTCAGACAAAAGTGCTGAATGATAAATTATACCACATCATGTTTTAAATACTGATAATTAAAAATTATAAATTTGTGTAACTAAAATAGCAGATAAAAAATAATTTTAAAAGAACCCTTAAATATTTATAGAAGTGAAAAAAACCCAATTTTTTTTTTTTAGATATAATTAAAAGCATATTTGTAAATATCATTGATATTTTCTCTTTCTGACATTGTTGCACATTTTTTTTAAAGTAATTTTTCTCATAACATAGCATCTTTGTGTCTTTTAGATTGAAATTACTATTCTATGTTCTGCATGTACAGAATTCGAAATGTCACACACTATTTATTTATTTTTTGGATTTGGTCCTATTATCTTGGCGCCACATTGTGTTTGTAAAACTTGTATGGAATATTTGCCCCTCTGGTCGAGAGAATGGTGATAGAAAACTCAAGATCAGAGTTACAATGATTTGGAGAGAACCAAGAGACCACATTAATGATTTCCATTTCTGCTGTAGCATCAAAATTGTTGGAATCACCCAAAACAATCGCCACAAGTGGACTCATCATAACCTACCTTCTGTAATGCATCCACTTCCTCACTCAGAAGACGTACTTATCCCAACGTATCATAGCCTTCCACAGCTCTTTGAAAATGCAGTTTTTATAATCATAATACAGAGGATGAAGACATGTTTGTTTTTCAAGTTCTCAACAATTAACCAAAAATAACTAAATTATCTCATTAGAACCCTGAGCCTTTCAAAAGCATCTTCTGAGGTACTTGCTTTTTGGTTTGCTTGACAAAAAAAAAATCTACTCGGGTCAGGAACGAAAATAAACATTCTATCATAATCATGAAAATAATTTGCTTCTGTTCTTCTCTCACAAAAACAATCTGGTATATTGCTATGATGTTTGGTTTTTTTTTCTGAAAATGGATCGACCTGTGTATTCACCAGGTGGTTGACATCTCTCATTGAGAGTTCTAAAAGGAGTTTAAAGTGTGCTCCCTTGCAATGGCAATAAATAAATACGGGTCGAATCTCCACTCACTCATTCAGCAAATATGAAAGAAATGAACGAGACAATTGGGTTATCATTGAAAAACAAAGTTCAACAACATCAGTAAACAGTTTGTGATGATAAACACAAGGTAATAAGACCAAATCCAAATAAATAAATAGTGTGTGACGTTTCGGTAACAACGCTGTTACCGAAACGTCACACACTATTTATTTGGATTTGGTCTTATTACCTTGAGTTTATAATCTATAATCCAATTTGTGCTTTATCAGTTTGTGATGATCTCAAAATGCTGATTATTTTCTTTGCCAGCAAGTAGCTACACGAAATACCTATTTTTTGTTTTTGGGTAACTACAGAGCTGAGAACTATAATGAGATTGTGAACAATATGCTTACAAATCTAAAAAATCTTGTTTGCAAAATGAATATGACATTGGATTACTTTCATAACCACTTGGACTACTTTCCTGACAATTTGTAGAAGTGAAGAGTTTATAAAATCACTACAGTATAACAATTCATCATATTTCCTCCACATTAATTCACAAAGTTCAAATTTCATAATGTGTGTGACTCCCATTTTTTTTTTGCTATTGTTCAGTAATGCGTGGTAAGGACAAAATAAAACTATTTTTCTTTGTTAGTGTATTTTTCATTTCAAAAAAGTAGTAAACTATTAAACCACTAATAAGCGGAAATATGAGAGGGGGGATAATGGGAAAACTTATTTAATACCAAAATAACAAATAGAAAATATAAAAGGCCTTTATTATTGCTTTTAATTTCAATTGAATTTAAAATATATATGATAGAGAATATTAATTATTTACATATTCATATATACCAAAGACAAAGAACAAAATAAATATAGGGAAAATAAGTAAACATCATTTTCTTTTTCTGCGAACCACAGTTATAGTCTCGATCCCGCGCTGGCGCACACCATGCCAGCCGCCTCCACGTGTTGCTCGATGGGATCGTCCTCCCGAGCTGCTTGCTTTCTCTAATGGATATTTAACAAAAATGGCAAACAACTATGGAAACTGAATTGATTCTGCTTGTACTGGCTGCTGTCAGATCAAATGGATAACAACCTGTTGCATAATTTTAAAAAACAGGAATTTCCAGAAATAAAACAAATTTATTCAGTTATTTATCAACTTGATCTTCGATCCTAAAGAAAGAGTTGCTACGACATATAAAGTAAAACGTACCACTTATTGAGTGACAATTATGAGTCTAAAGACATAAGTTTTCTGTATAAACCATCAGAGAAATTAGAGGGAGTAGATATCTCTTTCAGCAGCCAAATGGAGAATCATTTAGTGAACCTACACATTGTAGAATTAAAGACAAAGTAGGAGAATTTGGGGTTAGAAAATGTCAATATTGCTTCATAAAGTTTAATGAAAATGTTTCAAATTTCAGCAAAATGCTCTCATCCATATTTTAAAAAAAAAGAATCAAACTTATTTGATGCCAAATTTCGAATGGTCTAATATTTAAAACATGTAGAGCCTGCAGCGCATAGATAATGAAATATTGGAGTACAGTATCAAAAAAGGTTGAAGTGATTATTTTCAACTACATTATAAAGCTAACTTGCAAAATGTTGGTTTCCTTTGGATCTTTACTTATTAAACCTATGTAGTTTACATGAATGAAAAAGTAAAACACCTATTTTTCTGTATTGAAAGTATAACGTAACTTATTATCACATCACCGAGTATCTAATGAAACTGGGATTTCAATGTATTTTGGGTAGTTTTTCATGGATCTTGGATCTTTACTTATTAAACCTATGTAGTTTACAAGAAAGAAAAAGTAAAACACCTATTTTTGTGGATTGAAATAATCTATCTTAACTTATTATCATGAAACTGGGGTTTCTGTGTATTTTGGGCAGTTTTCATGGAAGGTTCTACTGTATCTTTTTATTTAAAAGAATTATAAAAAACATTTGCATCCCCTTTGAAGAGATCAAATTCTTCAGTCTAAATTTGTGTATGGTGTACCAGTCATGTAGGGGGGATACTTGTGGTTGAAGAATGGAAAGGGGAAACTTTTCAAATAAATTTATTGACCTGGCTCCCACATCAGCTGGAATCTAGCAAGTGGAACAGAACTGAGGCGGGGCTAAATGGGCAAGTTGCTTGATGTGCCACAGTACATTCTACTTGGTGATTATCATCTGCACACACTCACATAATATTGATCTATTTGCACTCTCTTTTATTTTAGAGATAGAGGTTACATAATAAAAAGATAGGATAATAATAAAACATGAAGTCTGGACTTTAGCCCTCTTTTTTTTTTGTTTAATGCAGTCATAATTTCACTAGTTCTTTCAAGAGAATCGTAATTGATCTTTTTTTTCACACATTAGCCTCTTTTAAGAAGCCTGTAATTAGCTACAAGAAAATAAAACATAATCCAAATAAATTAATAGTGTGTGATATTTCGGTAACAGCATTGTTACAACAAACGCTACACTATTATTTTACTTGGATTAGGACATATATTTTTGTAGCTATAATCCAAATTGTGCTTTATCATGCCTGCAATTATTGCTTTAGTTAGGTTGAAAAAATATCGCATGACACTCTCAAATTAACCCCATCAAATTTATTATATGTTCAGATAAATAAAAATGTGGTAAAATAAAAATTGCCCCAACAAAAATATAAGTTAAAATGTTCCATACCCCATATGGATGATTAGTCAGGCTGGTTCTGTAGAACAAAGTTCTTAATACTGCTCTTTCTTGCCACAAATATGGATCAAGTTTTTTGAAAGAAGAGGCTTCAATTGAACATAGAGGGGGCATTGTCATTAAACAAGTTGTTAACACTAGTTGTCATCAAAGTTTAAGAGAGGCACAGCTCATTAAATATGGTGTTAACACAAATTGACATCAAAGTCATCAGAGGTATGGGTCATCATGCTTACATAGTGATGTTGATATTAATTTATTAATATTAGCAAGAGGCAGATATCACTAAACATGGTGTTAAAATACATTGAAATCATTGAGAGAGAGAGGCGTGTAACACTAAACATGAAGCTAGCCCACATTATAGGAGAATGTATTGAGAGGGGGCTAGCCATTTAATAATACATTGCCCCTCCCCTGGGCATCCCTCACCCACTTGTTGACCGTTACCTGAGGACACAGAGCCACAGTGTGAAACCCCCAGAGAAACACTAACACATAGCCACAGGGTTCCACAATC